AAAACTAATTTGGTGACCCATAAAAAATCTCTGGAGACCCCCCACCCGGGTCGGGACCCGGACTTTGGGAATGATTGCTCTAGCTCACACTCAAAGCTCGTCACCGATGACTTTAGGAGTTTATACTGAGAGTTTACTGACCGCTAAATGAGACATGAGACGACGTAGTTTCTACACAATGACAGAGATGATCTGAGGTCCACTTCTGGAGAGACAGCGCTCTGTGCGTGTAAGTGAGGGGGCGTGGCTTTAGAGGGAGCACAGAGGGGAGGGGGTGCAGACGGAGCACTGAGGGAATGCTACTTTCAAAATCATGCTAGTTTTAGAAAATTACCAACCCTGCCTTTAATTCTGTAAGTTTAAGAGTTAAAGCAGCGTCCGTCCTAAAATTCATTGAGCAGACACTTTTATCCAAAGTGCTGAAAGGAAGTGACCAGCGGTGCTGACAGGAAGTGACCAGAGGCAGAGCTCTACATTGACGGCTGTTCTTGAGAGTTCTCGTCAGTATAGAATCCGTCTTCAAACCGTTCATCCTCTCTGTCTTCTCTCCTCCTCACGCTCTCTTTACTCCGGCTGCAGCTGTTAGCATCAACAGAACTGTCGAGACGCGTTTCTTAATAACTGCAGACGTCCGTTCGGATGATTCTCCGGACTTCTTCTCGTCCTTCCTGTGATGCTGCTCTCTCAGTGTGTAATGAATGTGGATGGCACATCTGTACTCTTTGTTTTCACTTTGCCTCCTGACTCCCCTCTGCTCTCTCTTTTGCCAGTTTGACATTTTGGACAGTGCTTAGTTTGGCTGCATTGCACGCCTGCTGAGCGAGCGGTTTGGTTCAGAGCCGGGTATTACCTCGGAGGTTTCACACCATCACACTCAAGTCCACATTATCAGACGCACGCCACCACATCGAAACCTTCAAATAAACTTTATGACAGGAAATGAGTCCACAGGCTGTGAATTTATTAAACTAATGTCAGTGATCACACGATGAGTTAAAGGAACTCTGAAAGTGTGGTTAATGTTTAGCAGGCACACAATCCACATTAATCAGGTCCTCAGCCTTTATTTTGCTATCGTTGGAGTCACCCTCTAGTGGCCATTAGTGAGAAAACAGGTTAAAGGGATTGGCTTCACTTTGGGTTACGTCTTCTATACAGGCCTACGGGGCAGGTCCTACACTCTGTGACTTTCTGGATTGGGGTTTCTGATCGGGTCGTATCGAGCTGTAGAGTCACTTTGTATCACAGGAATGTATCAGAGGCATCATCACTGAAGTGTAGGACGAACCACTCAGTAAACTGAGCTGAGTTTCAACATTTTTCAGTTTCAGACCTAATCATCTGAGGACTCCAATCCTTCATCCTTTGAATTATTTTATCCAAAATAACATCCATGTGCAGCTTCTTGTTAAGGTGCTGCTCATCCTATCCTGGACTAACTTTGTTTTATTAAAATGAATCCCAGTCACCGTTAGTGACCATTAGTAAAACACATCTCAGTGGAAGATCTCAGTGCGTGTAGGCAGAGGGCATCACTTCTAGCTCCCTTGCAGTATCCAAAGGCATGCCCCAGGGATCAGTCCTGGGACCACTACTCTTCACATTTTATATATCAATAGTCTCGATCAAAATGTTATTAATGCAAATTTCCACTTTTATGCTGATGACACTGTGATATACTGCTCTGCATCAGGCCCTTTGTCAGCTACAACTTGCTTTTAATACTGTACAATGTACCTTGTGTGACTTAAAACTTGTGCTGAATGCTGATAAAACGAAACTCATGATGTTCTCAAACTCCAAGTCAAAGCCACTGAACCTTCCTGCGACCCCCCTGCTTTCAGGGCGTTCAAGTATGCTGCTCCCTCTTCTTGGAATCGGTTGCGAGATACTTTAAATCTTCGGGAGCTGGTTTCCTTGAATGTTTTTAAAGGTTGTCTTGAAGATCTGACTGTAGGTGTTTTAGCTAACTCGTATTGCCCTTTTTGATCGTTTTGTTGCTGATGACTTATGACAGATTCTGATGAATGGTTATTTTTGTGATTCTTGTATTCAAGTGTTTTATGTCTGAAACCCTGTAATTGTGCAGCTGCCTGTCTTGGCCAGGACGCTCTTGTAGAAGAGATTTTTAATCTCAATGAGACTTTTTCCTGGTTAAATTAAAAAAAAAACATATTCAGTGAGTAGTGATGCATTAATCTGTATGGGTAAAAAATGAATTCCACCATGTTGGTTTTATTTAACCACAGTTATCTGTGTCTGAATGTTGTTTGTATCATGTGAGAGTAAACTCATAATGTTTTAACATCCCTGTAATCCCTGTGGTTTCTTCCTCTTGTCCTCAGGTGGTGGGTGGAGAAACGGCACAGCTCAGTGCTGGATCCCAGAGGGACTATCAGTGTGGTAAGGACCCTTGAGACGAAGGAGGGTGCATGGAGGGTTCAAGGCCTGTAAACCCGGGGTCGACAGCCGGCCTCTGGTTGGGGCTGGTCTCTGTGACTGTAGCCTTCCTTTGTACAGAGGCCCGGACCACCCCGAGCCCTCTGCTGACTCCCAGCAATGCCACCTGTGAGGGGAACTCAAAGTGCAGACCCGGGATTATCCTTCCCATCTGGTACCCCGAGGACCCCTCCATGGGGGACAAGATCGCGCGGGTCATCGTTTACTTTGTGGCCATGATCTACATGTTCCTGGGAGTGTCCATCATTGCCGACCGCTTCATGGCGGCAATCGAGGTCATCACGTCCCAGGAGAAGGAAATTATCATCAAAAGGCCCAATGGGGAAACGACCACCACCACAATCCGGGTTTGGAATGAAACGGTGTCGAACCTCACCCTCATGGCCTTGGGCTCGTCCGCCCCTGAGATCATGCTCTCTGTAATCGAGGTTTGTGGACATGGGTTCGAAGCCGGCGAGCTCGGGCCGTCAACGATTGTTGGCAGTGCGGCCTTCAACATGTTCGTCATCATCGGCATCTGTGTGTCGGTCATTCCCCAAGGAGAGGTACGCAAAGTCAAACACCTCAGAGTGTTCTTTGTCACGGCGGGCTGGAGCATCTTTGCGTACATCTGGCTCTACATGATCCTGGCCGTGTTCTCTCCAAACGAGGTCCAGGTGTGGGAGGGTCTGCTCACCCTGGCCTTCTTCCCCATATGTGTGATCTTAGCCTGGATCGCAGACAGACGACTGCTCTTCTACAAGTTCATGCACAAGAAGTACCGCACCGATAAGCACCGGGGGGTCATCATCGAGACGGAGACCGAGCGCACCAAGGGCATCGAGATGGACGGCAAGATGGTCAACTCTCACTTCATGGACGGCGGCGGCGCGGCCAGCAATCTCATTGGCTTGATCGAGACCAAAGAAGTGGACGAGTCCCGACGGGACATGATCCGCATCCTGAAGGACCTCAAGCAGAAGCATCCGGAGAAAGAGTTGGATCAGCTGGTTGAGATGGCCAACTACTACGCTCTGTCGCACCAGCAGAAGAGTCGCGCCTTCTACCGCATCCAGGCCACTCGCATGATGACGGGCGCCGGGAACATCCTGAAGAAGCACGTCGCAGAGCAGGCGAAGAAGAGCACCAGCGTGCAGGAGGTGCACGTCGAGGAGCCCGAGGAGTACGTGTCTCGGATTGCGTTCGAGCCTGCCGTCTACCAGTGCCTGGAGAACTGCGGCGCCGCCATTCTGACCATCACCAGGAAGGGCGGGGACATCAACAAGACGATCTATGTGGATTACAAGACAGAGGACGGCTCGGCCAACGCTGGGGCGGACTACGAGTTCTCAGAGGGGACGGTGGTCTTCAAACCCGGAGAGATGTTCAAGGAAATCAGCATCGGCATCATCGACGACGACATCTTTGAAGAAGACGAGCACTTCTTCGTCAGGGTCAGTAACCTCCGCGTCCTGGAGACCGAGGACGAGGTGCTTTCTGCCAACAGTCTCCCCTACCCGAAGGCCATGCTGGGCTTCCCCACCGTCGCCACCGTCACCATCCTGGACGACGATCACTCTGGGGATCTTCACCTTTGAGAGCGGCGCGGCTCACATCAGCGAGAGCATCGGCGTTATGGAAGTGAAAGTGATAAGGACTTCTGGAGCGAGGGGGACGGTCATCGTGCCTTATCACACCGTGGAAGGACTCGCCAAAGGAGGAGGAGAGGACTTTGAGGACACCTACGGGGAACTGGAGTTCAAGAACGACGAGACCTGGTAAGACAGCAACGCTTTACTTTGAATGCTTGTTGGTGGTTGATTTGATATTTGTGTTGCCTCTTTCAAAATCCACAAAGATTATTGAAGTTCAGTTTCATATTTTCTGTGTTCCTTCCGTCGATTTGTGCTTCAGAAAAGTGAAAAGCTGTTGGATGCTGATAAACAGGATGTGATTGTTTAGCTTAGTGCCTCAGTCTGTGAATACTTTTTGTTGAGGAAATTATTAAGAACTTGACTTCACACATAAGACTCAGTAGACTCGCTGATGAAAGTTTATACAAGAATACTCAGAGCAGAGATGGAGTAGCAAGAACACGTCTGCTGCTGTGTCCCTGCTATCCCAATTCTCCCAAACTCTTCGACAGACTTTGAATATATAGAAAATACATTATTGACGTCAGAGTCACACTGACCGAAACTAATCTGTGATAACAATTTGGAACAGACACTAAGTCTTACACATATATACAGGAGATGCATTTTTTCTAATCTTCAGTTCTTGTTGAATGTGTTGATAATTAAAGTGACAGATTGTGTTGTTGTGCTATTGACGGAGTTTATGTTGATGCCCTTAAATTAATCTTTTCATGGCTCATTAGTGGAACAGAGGTTATAGTAACATCTCAGGATTGGCTGTGGGGGGGGGGGGGGGGGGAGCAGGGGGCCAAGATCTGTTCACAGGGCCCGGATAAATCCTGGAGCCGCCCCTGCAGAGCGTACCCTCTCATCTGAGCGTGCACTGTACATCCCATTGTTTTCCTGTCGAGGGATTTTGCTCTTATCAGGATGCAGTCCTATGTGTCGCATGCAAAAAAGGATTCAACTTTGGGATTCGTCACACAACTATGACACCAGGGAGTCCTGAAGTAACCTCCCCCTCCTGCTTCTCTAATCCCTGCTGGTTTTGTTTGTCAAACTCTGAATTTTTTATTCTTTTCTCCTTCCTGTCTGCTCCAATCGAGCGAGCTCACTAAGAGCAGGATAACAAAGAGAGAAATATAACGTCATGTCAGAGGCCGGGCTCAGTCCTGCGCAGTGATCCGTGTGCAGCAGTGTGTTTTAGGTGAGTAGGCAGAGTTTGTCGTCGTGATTGACAAAGCTGCAGGTTTGTGGGGGCAGCCATGCTGTAAGAGTGTACATTATGGGAGTAAGCTCTGATGAGTAATGGTGATGTTTTTATGTAAATTGCGTATGTTGTGTTGCCTCGTCAGCTGGACCATCTGCACTACACAACACCTAGGCGTTCAGCTGAGTGGGCACGTTTGGCTGTGTTGTAATGAGAGCAGCATACTGAACCATTTTACACAAAACATCCAGCAGTGAGGGGGATTCCAGGTCCTTAAAGCGAGCTGGATCCGTCAACTCAGCAGTAACAAACATCTCTCTTTAGGCTCTTCTTTTAGCACTCAGTCAGATTCAGCTTTCTTTGCCTTATTAGTGATGCATGCACATATATCTGTTAAAGTCAGGGTTGGTCATCTTCTCCAGATCCACTTCTTCAGAGTCTGGTGTAAATTGTCTTTAGGTCCTGACAGAAATGAGTAACTCATGTTCTCTGAAAAAGGAACAAAGAAAATCCATCATCTGTATCAGTTTGTAAGTCTGTAAAAACTTCAACCAATGTCTGCCACGAGGTACCAATCTGATGAACCAATCAGACGCCTCCCTGTCTCCCTGCTCGCTCTCTACCCCATGGCGTGCTCTAGCTCACACTCAAAGCTCGTCACCGATGACTTCAGGAGTTTAAACTGTGAGTTTACTGACCGCTGAATGAGACATGAGATGACGTAGTTTCTACACAATGAGATGAGCTGAGGTCCGTGTGTGTAAGTGAGGGGGCGGGGCTTATGAGGGAGCAAAGGGGGGGGTGTGCAGACGAAGCACTGTGGGAATGCTACTTTATAAATCATGCTAGTTTTCAAACATTACCAACCCTGCCTTTAAGAGAGGTATTTATATGTCCAAGCTAGCGGAAACACCAGGCGAGTAAAAGGGGGCGGGCCTTAAATTGGAAGGAGCTTTTATTTGAAGTTTTACAGTTTTTAC